TCCTCTGATGCTACTGCATGAGATACACGCTGACTGTGGACCACGACTCACTTCTCCGGCCGAAGATTAAAAGTTAAAGTAAAACTAAGAGCATTCGGGCAAGACAAGTAAGACTAAAACGAGAAGTAACGGTTACCTGCACCTTCTCCTGCAGCGCGTTGTAAACCTGATAGATGGCCCTGATGTCCTTCATGACTCCGTCCTTGTCGAAGAAGTCAGTGCTAGAGGACAGGCAGGAAAGATGTCACGGAAAGGACAGCTGCCATGCACCTGAAAGGACTCTCCTGCCCTTCTACCTTCCTCTGGTCTTAAACGTGAGCTCCCAGGTGACAGTGTCTCAGCCACAGTGTCACACTACTAGGCTTCCAGAAGAGAAATAAAAAGGAACCCACGTGACTAAGACCGTTTAAAAAATAATAGTGACCACAGCTTAGGATCTCAGAAATACACATACTCTAGCCACACCTTTATATCGATTACAGAAACAACTGTGGCAACTGATTTAAAAAAAAGTGGTGGTAAAAGTGAACTATGTTTTCAGTAAGAATAAAATTTTGATATATAGGGTGACGGTCTACAGAATTGCATCACTGCATGTTTCACTTTCAACCTGACTTCACATTTCCCCGCAAACCTTTACATCTTCACAAAAGAAAGGAAGCCCGTTCACTGGACCGGGCCCTCACCCGTGCTCTTTGATGACTTTGGCGTAACTCTGAGACGTGTTTGGCACTGAAGACACTTTATACTCTTGCTGGCTGGTGTTGCCCAGGTTGGGAATAGCAAGGGAGATCCTTTGATTGTACCTGAGGGAAGATTCGAGAGCGAGCATGTTCAAGGCCCTGTTCGGGCTGAAGAATGGGCCATGGCAACAGCAATCGGAGCTGCACACTGGGGACCCCAGGTCTCACCAGCACCGGCTTCCACGACAACCTGAGATGCACGGATTAGGGATGGGTCCTTCCCTTAAAGTGGAAACGACTGCAAAGTCCTTGAGGGCAGAGGTCACGTCTTAGATATCTGCATCCCACAGTGGCGGACAGGCCCAAGAAACACTGCTGAGGAATCCCTGCAACCTTGCAATGGCCCCCTAACCATGATGCTTCTCCCCGATGCCGATTCAGTTTATTCCACCGCAGGTGAATCCAGAGAGAAGCCTTTCTGCGTTCACAGCAGACCCATGGCCATGGGGCCATCTTTTTTTTTTTTTTTAAGACGTTCACAATGCAAAACCCTCATTAGCCAGTAGGTGGATCAATTTTACAATTCTGTCTGAAATCTATGCTTTACAATTAAAATCAGACTTCCAGAGCAATAAAACTGTATTTCTACATAATGGATTATGGAGAAGCAAATGATGATTTCCAGCGGTTTATTCCTATAAGCACTTATGCATAATTAATATATCTTGCTAATGCTTTTTGATTCAAAAACAATTTTAATTTATACAACTGACAGAAAAATACCCTCTCTAACTACAAAGAAAACTCACCAGAAGAGAATTATAAAAGCTTTTCTTTACAGATGCTATGAAATGCACATTTCAAAGTCACAGATCTCCATGGCCTGGGCCGACATCTGTCCTGGTGACGTGAGGTGGGGATGCGGCCTTACCTGCGGTTCGGTCTGAAGAGGACGTACTCCAGAGCGTGCGTGGAACTGTTGGCCGTGGAGATGAAGCTGAAGAGGAGGAAGACGAGGTCGGGCACCCCGAGGATGCGGGTGAGCTGCTTGTGGAGGACCTGCTCCCGGTACGACATCTGCTGCTGCGTGTTCCGCCGGAATCTGTACCATCCGATCACTTTCTGCAGCAGAAACAGAAGGAAAGGGTTGAAAGCTGCATGAAATCTTACACATTTAGGTCTGAAGGTATCCACACAGACACCTGCGCACAGATGTTCAAAGCAGCTCGACGTGCAATCGCTCAAAGCTGAACCGACCCACTGCCCATCAGCAGGTGAGCGAGCTGCGGTGCAGCCACACACTGGACACCCGCTCAGCAACAAAGCCACCGACTGCTGCAGACACACCGACACCTTCCCCAGGAGTCCCGCTGAGTGCAGGCAGCCAGACCAAAGTGATGATGACAATAAGAGCTTACGCTACAGGACTCTAGTCCTGTAAAACCCCAGAACATGACAACTGATCTCTAGCGACATGGAGCAGCCCCAGCAGCTCAGGGGCTGCCTAGGGAGGGGACGAAGGGATTGGAAAAGGGCCCGGGAGGTCTGGAGGGACCGACGTGGCGTTAGCTTCTGATGACGTGGTTTCATGGGTGTACACACAGATCAAGACCTACCACAGTGTACACCACACGTGTGTGCAGTTGATTGTACGCAATTATACCTCAATGCAATGCCTTTGGAAGTTTAGCTTTGTCAGCTCTATCGGCTGCCTAAGGGAAGTAAACTGGCCTGTTCTGTGGAAGAGTAGCTCTCCCAATGTGCGAGGCGGGACATCCGGCAGACAGTGACCTACCAGGCCCTGGGAGCCGCCCAATGCTCCGGGCCCACCCAAACCAGCAGTCAGAACCTCACAGGCCAGTTCCTGAGTTTCTCCTTGTGCTACTCAAGTTTGAAAATCTTTGCTGTTGAGACAATTTAATTCTTCATTAGAAAAATACTCTTCATATAGCTTCTTTCTTTGAATAAACTGGGTGAAATCCTGTTTTAAGATGTAAGGTCATTTAAAATTGTCATATTAAAGTAACAGTAAATCTAGATTTGGTTTTGGTGCTTTCACGTAAGGAAGTGAACCAAGCTTCCCTGAGCCCCTGTGCCAGGCCCCAGCTAACGATGTTACAGATGTTTTAATTAATGATCACAGCCACCCTGGGAGGCGAGTAATGCTGTCTCCACTGAGCTCAGACCACGGCAAGGAGCTCCAGGGAACAGCACCGGCCCTCAGTGGTACTGCGCACAAAGCATGGCTTCAGATTATACTAAAGCAATTAATTCTGACATTCTTTAAATAAAAAGAAAACCCAAACATTTCTGAAGCATAAATCTCATAGAGATGTTTTGTCCAAAGTCACAGAGCTAATGAGTGAAAGCCAAGACCTGCACAACATTAACTTGAAAATCCCCATCAGTCACACAATGGTGGCCATAAAAAAGTGAAAGCAGCTTTCCTTTAAAAAAACAAATGGCTAAGAAAAACTATCAACTGGCCAGAGCCCTAAGCAGGAATCAGACCGCAACCTTTTGGTGCAGGGACAATGCTCCAACTAACCGAGCCCCACCTCGGCCAGGGCTGGGTCACATTGTTTCAATTTGTGTTTCCTGATAGAGGTTAAACATCTTTTCATTTCTTTCTTGGCCATTTGTGGATTCTTTTTTCTTTTGTGAATTTCCTCTTAATAATCTTTACTCATTTCTTTCACTTTAAATTTTGTCATCTGTTAAAAAAAACAAAAACCTTCCTGGAGCCTTTAATACGGAGTGACCTCTAGAAAGCTGTGCTCCAGTAAGAATTTTCACGGGACAAACTTAGGTGTCGACAGTATAAAGACTCATGATCTGGACTATGAAAACCGATGGGACGAGGAGGGGAGGTGTGGCTGAGAGGAAGACGGACTGGGAGAGCCGGAATGTGTGCTCTTGGGCAAGTCACTGGGAAGGGAGAGCGGGCCCAGGAGGCCGGGGTGGTCTGACTCCCTCTCCCAGGTGGGTGGCCGACACTGAGCACCTCTGAGCCTGTCATCACTCCCAGAGCACCATCCTTTCCTCTGACCTGTCCCCCCTCCCTTTCCCCCTCCCCCCACAGAGGCTCTGAGACCTGACTCCTGATGCTCTTCTGCAGACCCCGAGGGACCCAGTCCCACCGCCAGGGCTTTCACCCACAGGTCATCCTCCAGAAGCTTTACTGCAACACATGTTCCTAAGCAAAGGCATTCTGTTTTCTGTTTAACACATTGAAAACTTTTATTGGTACTTTTTTCCTGAGCGATGGTGTAATCTATTTTTCTGGAATTTATATACCAAGGTAAAAATCATAAAATTAATGCATGTGTATTAAATATTTACAATCTTTTTTTTAATCACAAAGTAGACAAATCCACCTCGACTCAACTATTAATTTTTGGATTATAGTTCATTTCTTCTTCTTCTGATTTTTACATAAAAGAGTCATACTATAAACACCTAAACTTTTTTCTAGTGATATATTGTAAACATTGTCTCACATCTGTAATTTACCTGTAAAATTCACTCAAGGTAACAGAACTCGTCTACACTGACAGCAATGCGTTGCTCATTTACATTCCTTTCTGTTTTAAGCGCGGGTGATGAGATAAGGAGTGATTTCCAAATCGGAATGGGCAACAAATGTAGCCTACCTTTCTCCGGTCTTTAAGAATCCTGTCCAAACTCTCTTCGTTAACTTTGCTTGCGTAGTCATAAAAACTGTTTTTTTAAAAGAGAAAACAATATTGTATTAAAATCACATGGTATTGTGACATGGATATGCGTAGCTACATGCGTCTATGGATCATCTAGCCCAATTCTGTGCTGGTTATAGAGCTAGAACTGCCGTCACTAGGTACAGAAAGAGAAATCAATCTAAGTGTCTTACTGACTGGAGGTACCTCTGGCATCACAGAATACTCCAGACACTGTCACACACACAGGCATCACTTCCCCGGTGGGAGGTGCGACAGCAGCTAAGCATAAACACGTGGGCTGACAGCTTTTCCCTGTTTCTAAGAATCACTTCCTTATGAAAACAAAAGAATGCAGAAGCTCTTTTCTGAGAAAGGAGGAAGGGAAGTGAGCACTTGTTGAATGCCTCACCAGAAACCCCACCGCATGCTTCCTCGTGTTATTTTATTCCATTCTTGCCTCAATGATGGGAGGTGTTAGTTTAGCCCGACAAGTCAACAAGCTTGACTCCCATTCTTTTTTTTTCTTTTTTTAAAAAAATATATTTTATTGATTTTTCACAGAGAGGAAGGGAGAGGGACAGAGAGTTAGAAACATCGATGAGAGAGACACATTGATCAGCTGCCTCCTGCACACCTCCTACTGGGGATGTGCCCGCAACCAAGGTACATGCCCTTGGCCGGAATCGAACCTGGGACCTTTCAGTCCGCAGGCCGACGCCCTATCCACTGAGCCAAACCGGTTAGGGCTTGACTCCCATTCTTGTGGCTACAGATACCGAAGACAAGTGGCTTGCCCCAAGTCCTGGCGCTGGGAGTGGTAGAGCTGGGATTTGAAGGCAGGTCTGGCTAGCTTCAAACTGAATGCACCCACCCCTAACGCAGACCCATCTGACCAGGGCCCTGTGCCGAGCAGCCACGCACCATGATTTGTGGCTTTCCTACCACGATTGGAATGCCGCCCTTCCCCCCTCCTCCCACCACAAGCCCAGGCCTTATAAGGCAGGAAGGAGTTCAAGGTACAGTGAGAACACCGAACCGGGAGTCAGGAGGCTCCGCTCTGGTTCAGGCCTGCTTCTCACTGAGTGACCTTGAGCACATCACTAGCCCTCTATGCCCCTCATGCCCCTTTTTGCAAAGCCGAGTCTGGAGTAGACAGGTGCTGTCTAAGGTTGCTTTCAGCTCTAAGAATTCTGAGTCTGTGATCGGAGTTGAGTTCAGTTCTTGTCTGGGGTGTCTTTGCCGACAATGCTTTGAGGAATTCCTCAGAAGGGCAAGGCCGGGCATGCCTAGCACAGCTCTGGATAGTGAGGGCCACACGGGCACTTCCACGGACCAGACACAGGCACTGCGTGGGCGCGGCCTCAATCATCTTGTTTGCTCTGAGATTCTTCTCAAATGAACTGCTAGTTGTGCATCTTGCTGCCCACTCCTCCCTCGGTTCTGTGTAAATCCAGACAGATGAACAACTGGGCTCCTTCGAGACCTCGTCCTCAGGTAGCCATCGTGCATGAAGACAGAACTTTGAAATAGTAAGGGGGTGGGGGGAGTGTGTGTGTGTGTGTGTGTGTGTGTGTGTGTGTGTGTCACAATGCACTCCCCAGGGGCTGGGGTGCGGGGCCGGTGCCTGCCAGCTGAGAATGAGCGGGGTCGGAGGAGGCTGCAGGGAACACAGGGCAGGACAGCGGGTGCAAGGAGCTGGCAGGTGTTTGGAGAAGAAAGTGCTGCCCTGGCTGGTTGGCTCAGAGGTCCCAGGTTCTATTCCAGTCAAGGGCACATCCTGGG